TATTTTCATAGCTCTATGTGTTTTTGGGAGGAGATTTCCACTGCTCTGCTCACGCCGCCATCTTCGCCCCAAGACCTTTTTTTTTTTTTTAAGAAAGCTTTTCAAGTGATTTTACGGGGTAGCCAGGATTGATAGACACTGGCTGAAGCAGCTGTGAGGAGGGACGTAGGCTGTACGGCCTGAGACTTTGATTCCATACTGGTGTAGGATTATGACCAAGATTAGGAATTCAGTTTGTGATCAAAGGACATAATTAGTCCATATGGTTTCAAATACTGCATCTCACCCACATTCATTCAGTCATTGGATATTGATCAAGCCATTATACTGTGCTGTGCACAGTGCTAGCCAGCTACTAAGGAGTCAGCAGTGAGTGAGACAGGCATGAAGCTGCCAATCTGGTGGTGAATATGGACTGGGCCCGTAATCAAACAATTGCTGAAATAGATACAAATGTACAGGTGGATAAGTGCTAGGAAGGAAAGAATCAATTTTGTGTATACATGGGGAGTGGAGGGGTGGGAAAATGATAATTACCTGCAAATTGAAGGATGAGTTGTCACTAAATAGGTGAAAGGGGGTAGGCTGGAAAGAAGGGAGAACATTCTAGGCAGAGAAAAGTGACACTTAGGGCTGTGTGGCCAGAATGCAGAGTCCAGGTGGTCATGGGGTAAGATGAAGCTCGAGAGGTAGAGAGGTACCTATGTAGATCAGAGGAGCCCACAAAATTAAAATCCCCAGGGAATTTTGAAAAATATGCCCATGCTTGGGTTCCACCCATGAGTGGTCTGGGGTAGGAGCTGACTTCCCAGCAGACCCTGGGTAGGAGGGGGTCAAAGCTGAATTCTTCAGTGAGTTCATAGCACGTTGGCTTCCTGCTATGGATTAAAATTTAGATCTGGGTGCTCTGGGTACCAAGAATGGTAACACCAGTGGAAGAGTTGCCATTTTATTTTGAAATTGGACGTGTCTGCCTTTCATTCTTGCCTGGACAGAAGGCCACTGCCCACCTCAAGCTGCTAAAATGCTAGCAGGCAGGGCCAACACTGTTCTTAAAGAAGCAGCTGTGGATCAAGTGTTTGAGCAAACATTAGATGGAGTTACAGAATATTGGGTCATGGGGCATGAAAACATGAGCTGGGATGCAATGTTTGAGTAGAACAGCCTGGGGGTTGGGGCTGGAGCTGGGCCAGCATTCTAACCAGAGAATGGTAGAGAAAGAGGTGAGAAGGTGGGAAAAGTGCAGCACTCCCAGGGGCCAATCAGCAATCTAGCTTGGCTGGCACGGGTGTTCGGGGAGGAGTTTGAGACCCCACTGCCTGTCCTGATCCCACCAAGCCTATTGCTCATTTGATAAACCAATTCACCGGCACATCATAGGGTTAGAAGGTGATACTGTTGGGGAGGGGGCTCCGCCATCCAGGACTGAGTGGACTGGCTGACCCAGGCTCACACATGCAAATGTGCAGCCTCCCCTTGGAAGAAGTCACCTGGGAAGGGTGGGACCAATTGCAACCAGACTATGTGAACTCTAACTTGGGCTCTTGGCCTTTTTTTGGGTGCCATGGGCCCCTTAGGTTTCTGGGGAAGCCTATGACCCCCTTTTCAGAATAATGTTTTTAAATGAATAAGATAAAATACAAAGGATTTTAACAGAAACTGATTATACCAAAATGCAGCTATCAACGTAAGTACCCTGCGGCTGGACTGTGCAGGAGGCTGGTGGGGCTGGAGGGGAGAAGTGAAAGGTAGAGCAGCAGCAGGTGAGGGGAAAGGGGAGGTGGAGGGGGGCCAGATCATGCAGGCGCCAGTCCAGTGACCTGGGCTGTTACCCAGAGTGAGATGGGAAACCATTGGAAGGTTTGAGCAGAGTGCTCCCAGCATCACTGCTAGGTGAATACCATCCTTCCCATTTTCAAATAAGAGAAGTGCAGCCCAGGAAATCTAAGTGCCTTGGCTAGTGGAAGGCCTCCCACCACCTCCCCCACCCCTAGCCCATGACTCAGAGAAGGGTCAGAATATTCCTGACTCCCCTCTGCCCCTTCCAGAGGGCATTTGTCATTTCATGGATTGTCTACCACTCCGTGTCCCCACTCCCTGCTGTATCCACCAATTCTGCCACTTAACTTATTGAGCACCTACTATGTCCCAGGTACTCTTTTAGATGCTGAGAATAAAGTAATGAATATGAGAAGTCAGCCCTTGTTAGTGGGTGGGGGAGACAGGTAAATAGGAAAATAAAAAAAGAAAATATTTTTTAGTAATAAGAGCCATGCAGAGAGAAGAGAGTGGCTGCTTTATAGAAGCTGTGCAGGGAAGCCTCTCTGAAGAGGTGACATTTAAATTGAGATCTGGGGAGAACATTCCAGGCAGAGGAAGGTCTGTGAGCAAAGGCACAAGTGGGAAGGAGCTTGGCATGTTAGAGGAACCGGAGGCAGGATAATAGAGAATAATGATCTAGGGAGGGGGAAGGGGCTGAGGGTAGCAGCACAGGGGCCAATTCAGGAAGGGCCTTGTAGGTTATGAGCTCATGGGAATCCACAGCAGTGTTTTCAGCAGGAAAGGAAACAATCTGATGTTTTAAGATCATGCTGGTTTCCATATGAAGAATAGATTGGTGGGGGAAGGGAGAAGGGAGAAAGTGAAAAGATTTAGGATACAGTTCAAGATCTAGTCAACCAGACAGGGCGATGTATTAAATGGAGGGGGTGAGGGAAAGAGAGGATTCGATGATGGTCTCTAATTTTTCAAGCCCTGGCTTGACTGACTGCATGGATGGTGATACAACTTGCAGAACTGAGGAAGGCTTTAGGGAAGCGACTTGGAGGAAGAGGTCAAGTGTTCTGTTATGGACATGTGTTCTCAGAGCTTCAGAATCGGACTTTGGTTCACATTGAACCCTGGCTCTGCTACTTACTAGCTTGACCTTGAACAAGTTATTAAACCTTCTGAAGCCTCAGTTTCCTCACCTGCAGAATGAAGAGAGCAACAATCTTTATTCCAAAGGGCCATTGTGAAGATTATACTAAGGTGTGTAATGTCCCTGGTGTTCTGTAAATTAGCAGCTGTTGTCCTAGTTGAAGCATGAGGTAGACCCCAAGAGGGCAAGCTTTAAGAGAAACTTCAGAGGGCAGTCCCAGAGGGTGGGCCAGTGTAGCCAGGCTGTTGTGTGACAGGCAGTAAGGCCTAGTGGTTAGATATCACCTTCTTGAGTCAAACTGTCTGGGTTCATAATCCTGGCTAAGCCACTTACTAGCTTACTTAACCTCTGTGTGCCCCAGAGATGTTGTAAATTATTATTATTATTTAATTTCCAAAACAGGGATAATAATAACCTACCTTGTAGGGCTGTTGTGAAGGATTAGATGAGATAATCCATGAAAAGGGCCTGGCTCATACTAAGGGCTCAGTAAGTGTTAGCAGCTATTAGCACAAGGATGTAGGAGGGAGGGGCTGCAAATGGACTTCAGCTGTGCCTTGACCTCCTTCCAGAGAAGATAGTCTTCAGCCCAAGCCATTGTCAAACAGCTCTGCGCTCCCAACACTCCCCAGCTGTGGCTAATTATACCAAAATGCAGCTATCAAGGTAAGTACCGCTCTCTGAAGAGCTAGTGAGCCTTTGCCAAGGTTGGTGTGGAAATGGCTAACTCCACTTGAGGGGAGGTGTTAGCCACAGGCTACAGGCAAAGGGAGTCCAAGTCCCCAAGCTGCCTGAAATTGTGTAGGAACAGAGAGAAATAACCAACTGAGACATTCCCAGGGAGCCCCCGGGCTTCTTTTCCACTCAAATGCTCCCTTTGTTGTTAAGAAGCAAACCTACTCCATCCCCACTGGCACCAGCCTGCCCATTGTTTTCCTAAGAGACCATCCCAAGCCATGAGCTCGGGCTACCCCTGTCTTACAGAAATGGCAGCCTGGAATGCCAGTGCAGCAGCAGTATCACGTAACCCAAATTCTCCCCAGCTAAAGACACTAGAACAATGCCCCACATCAGGTGTCCTGGACAGACTCATACAGGGCCTAAAGGAAGTCACCAGAAGCATTTGGCCTGAATCTTCCCGCAGGCGCGGCTACCTGTGGTGATTACTGCTAAAGGCCCTGACATCTGAGCAATGGACACAAGGCTAGCCTAATTTCAGCTCCATTTGAGCAAAGGGGTGAGCTTTGTGGGTTTGTTCCAGAGGTAGGAGAGCATGAAATATCCCACCAAGAAGATAGAACAGATATTTCATAAATAGATGGTTCTTTAGGCAGTCGGAGATGGATAGGTCTGAGGTGAAAAAGGCCAGAGAGGTCCCTTCTCCAAACCGAAGGAGCCTCTTTGGAACCCTTGCAGCTTTTGGCTCTGAATCTTTCTAGCAGACTGCCTGCCTCTGACTTAGGCAACCCTCCCGCTTCCCTCCTTGGCCGGGATCTCCTTGGGGCTTTCTCATCACCTCAGTGCTCACCTTCCACTCAGCTGAGAAAGAGAAAGGAGGATCCCTAGCTCTATCTTTATGTATACATCCTTCTCTCTAGAACATTCTCTCAGCAAAACTTCTGCTCAATAAGTCCCCATTTGCTTAAGGATAAAGTTCCAACTTCTCTGAGGCATACCACCACAAAGGAATTTTAAGAACTGGAGAGGGCTTGCTAAATCATTTCATCCTAATGTCTTGTTTTTACAGATTGTGAAATCAAGGACCAGAGAGAAGTTTGCTGTCCAAGGCCACACAGCAAGTTATTGGTAAGGCTAGACCCGGAAGCCAGGTATCCCAACTCCCAAAGCAGTGCTCTTTACACAACACTACTCCACTTTCACCAACCCCATTTATCACTAAGCCAAACCTTTGTGGCTTAAGACAACAGCACTCACTTTATTTCATCTCATATGTCTGTGGGTCAGGAATTTGGGAAGGGCTCAGCTGGGTGGTTCAGGCGCAGGGTCATTCATAAGGCTGTCATCAGGGTGGATGGGGCTGGAGCAGCTGGGAACAGATCAGGCATTTCTCTCTTCATGTAGTCTTAAAGACTCCTCATGTGATCTTGGCATGTGAGTTAGTTTGGGCTTCCTCACGGTATGGTGTCAGTTGAATGAATCACAGGGTGGCGCAAGGCTTCAAGAGTGAGTGCTCCAGCAAACAAGGTAGAAGCTGGGTCTCCCTTCTTCACTTCTGACTAGTCATGAGCGTGCCCACCTCTGGGGTAAGGACCATAGCCCCTACATCTCAGTGGGGTAATGTCAAAGTCACATTGTAAAAAGTGCACATGGAATGTGACTTAGTGTTGCAGCCTTCTTGGGAAAATACTACCTGCCACCCCAATGTTACTTCCCACTTTTCCCTCACATGGGCTTCCTGCTTCAGCCAGTGGCTCCCCCAGACCCTTCAGACAAGCCTTCTGCTGTCTTGCTTGTGTAGTTTGGCTACACAAACTACAGGCCCCTGCCCAGGGTGCTCTCCTCTCTGCTCCAGTGCCTTCCTTAAGGTTCCCTAAAGACTCCTGAGAGCACCACATGCAGCACTTTCCCCCCAGTCAAAGCATACAGACATTTGCATGTTTAATAGGCTGGGTTGCTCCACACTTGCTCAAAGCAGTCTGACCAGTGGCTGTGGGTTTCCACATCTGGGCCCTGAGCGTCTGGATTCTGGTGGTTAAACTGTCCTCATTCTTCCAAGGTCACAGGGCCTCAGGTTCACGTTGCTTCTGGCCATAAAAGGCAGGAAAAAGTGGTGGCCATAGTGCAGTGTCTCTTCTGAGGGAGGCATGGGAGCAGACCAGGCTCTGAGCACAAGGTCCTGGTAGTCAGGTGACAGGTGGCAGTTAACTGTGTTGGCCAGAGCCCTTGGCTGGGAAGCAGGAAGCCCGGGTCCCAGTGCTAGCTTTCTGGCCAATCTGATGCATGCAGGACGTAAGGCAAACCCCTCAACCTCTCACTGGGCCTTAGTTTCCCCACTTCTGCAATATGAAGCCTAGAACTTTCCCTTCCTACCTTTGTGATGAGCAGAGAAGGAAATGGGATGATCCCTCTGAGAGCAGAAAATGCTGTTAAAATGATAATAAGTCTTGTATGTGTTTCTTCTGTCAACCATACTTCCTCACCAGCTGGTAGACTTGAGAGAGTATGTGAGTTGGCAGGTCAATGGTTATGGAGGTGGTATTGATCAATGGCTTTCTGTGGAGAAAGTGAAGGTTCCTATGGCCAGGATTCTCACCTGGCCCTGGTCAGCTTGCTCACTACACGCCTGAGGACAATACGTTGTTACTGACTCTATATAAAGAGCTCTGCCCAGTGCTCTGGGCTTTACAGCTGCAGGAGAGCAGAGACGAGGCTGGAGTGGTGGCAGCGCCGAGGACAGAAACAGAGACGACTGCGGAGTCATAGAGGCCAGAGGCAGAGACCAGCTTGCTGCATGCAGACTTGCTCTGAGTGGGCAGGATTCTAGTGATTGACCTGCCACTGGGAATAAAGTTGTGTATAAACCCTTTCGCCCCAAGAACATTCCATTGTCATTCTTTGGTCTCATTGAATCCATAGTGAACTTGCCTGGGGCTGAAACCCATTGGCAAACACTTTCCCAGGCACATATGGTGATTCAGGCAGGCAGGGCTTGGCAATACAATCATTCCCAGGTTTCTGAGCTGAGAGTTTGACATGGGGCTGACATTCCACCCTGTCATGCTCTAACACCCCCAGCCTATTCCTCTTCCCAGGGAGCACAGGTAGTCTGGAAGAAGGCACCCACATACAACCCTCAGTTAGAAAGTTAGGCTACTAATTAGCTTTGTGGCCTTGGGTGAATTACTTCCCCTCTCTCAGCCTTAGTTTCCTTAGAAAACAATGGACTCATCATCACCTCTGCTGCTGGAGAAGAGCTTGATTATTTCTTGGCTCTATCATATCTATTGTGCAGGGGTGGCATGTGGTCTCCCAGGCTGGGAAGCATTAAGTCAGAACAGCTTTCATGAAAACAATACAAGTGGTTTCCCCCAAATAGAGGGGGCCTCCCCTAGGCTCTTTCACCTCATGGGACCTACAAGCTGGCTGAGGCAGAATGTGGGCATAGGAGTTAGCAGACCAGAGAGCAATTCTGGTCATGTGACATACCTTGGCTAAGTCAGAGACTCTCAAACCCTCAGAGCTGAAAGGCACTACCAAACTCTTCAAGCCCAGCAGTTATCAGCCTCCAGAATGAACTGTCTCAGATGGTCAACCCCCTCCAGTGACAAGGAGCCCCTCACTTATTAATGCAGCCCATACCATTGTTGGAATAACTATAGTACAAAGTTCTTTATTAGGCTAATTAGCTGTGTTGCCTTGGGTGGATTATTTCCCTTCTCTGGGTCTTGGTTTCCTCAGGAGAAAATGGGCTAATAACCTCTCAGGTTCCCTCCAACATTCTGAGTTGCTAGAAATTTACCTCTTTGTACCTATTGACCTGTTTGTGCCTCTGGAGTACACAGAACTTGGCCCTGTGTGGAGTAATAGCCAACCCATTGCACACTAGAAGTTGGCTCCCTTTCCCTGTATACTGTCCTTATAGCACATGGAAAGGTAGTGTGGGGCAGGAGCTAGGATCACAAGATCTGTTGTCAGGCAGCCTGGAGTCTAACTCTGGACTCCACCACTTCCCAGAGGCTCAGTGTCCTATCTGTAAAAAGGGACTAATAGTACCAACCTCAGTGGGACAGGGTATAGGGAGTAATTGAGGTAATGGTTGTAAATCAGCATGTGTAATCAGCAAGGTAAAGCCCCCACAGGTCTCCACATCCTAATCACCAGACCCTGTGAATGTGTTATGTTACATGGCAAAGGGGAATTACAGTTGCTAATCAGCTGACTTTAAAACAGGGAAATTAGGGAATTGTCCAGATTATGCAGCTGGCCTCAATATAATCACAAAGCTATTATTATAATTGTAAGTGAAAGAGGGAGGCAGGAGAGTCAGATTTAGAACTGATGGGACATGAGAAGTTCTCAATCGTCCATTGCTGGTTTTGAAGATGAAAAGGCATCATGAGCCAGAGAATGTGGGCAGTCTCTAGAAGCCAGAAAAGGTGAGGAAACAGATTCTCCCTTAGAGCCTCCAGAAGGAACCCAGCCCTGCTGACAGCTTGGTTATAGCCAGAGAGACACATTTTGGACTTCTGACCTGCAGAACTGTAAGAGAATACATTTATGTTGTTTTAAGCTAGTAAGTTTGTGGCGCTTTGTTTGAATGGCAATAGGAAACTAACACAGGATGGTAATGACTCCTGACAGTCTCCCCACACCCACTCTTGTCTCTCTCCAATTCATTCCTGACAACACAACCAAAACCATGTTCCCAAGACCCTTGTGGGGAAAATGTAAGTTCCTATGGTCAGGATCCTCACCTGACCCTGCTTGATGATGTTATTGGCCAATGCTAGGCTAATGCTTCCTCCATACTCGTAGGGAATAAGCTATTATTGACGGAATCACTATATAAAGAGCTCCACCCAGTGCTCTGGGCGACACAGTGGCATGGCTGCATGGCTGCAGGACTGCAGGAGAGCAGAGGCTGGAGTGGTGGCAGTGCCGAGGACAGAGACTGAGATGGCTGCAGGGCAGGGAGGCCCAGAAGCAGAGACCTGCATGCTGCATGCAGACTTGCTCTGAGTGGATGGGATTCTAGTGATTGACTGCCTACCATGGGAATAAAGTTGGGTAATAAACCCTTTTACCCCAAGAACATTCCATTGTCATTCCTCGGTCTCACTGAATCCATAGGGAACTTGCCCAGGGCTGAAACCCAACGACAAGACAGTAGCCTAAAGGTTGAGCTTTCACCATCCCTGTGGTGTTCCATCATCTGGTGTTGGGACTCTTGTTCTAAGCTGTCAAAATCTTCCCAAGTCCTAATTCAGTCTTCACCATATTAACCAATCCTCCCAGCCTTATCATCTGCACACCTGAGTAATGTGTCCCTGTGCCTGTCCCTAGGTCCTAGATAACAACATGGAGCAGGGCAGGGCTAAGAACACATGCTGTACACCTGAAACCAATATAATACTGTGTATCAACTATAAAAAAAGAACACATCCCTGGATATGCTGCCAGAGGTGCCCCTGGGCCTGCTGCGATCTTGGGGTATTGAGTCAGCAGCACAAACTGTGCCTAGGTCAGACTGTGCCAAGTCCTGGGTTTGCCACTTCTGCGGCTGCAAAATTGGGAATAATAGTATATCAGTTTCCTAGGGCCACCTTAACGAAGTACCACAAACTTGGTGGCTTAAAACAACACAAATTTATTCTCACAGTCCTGGAGGCTAGATGTCCAAAATCAAGGTGTTGGGCGGGGCCAGAGTCTGCCTGGCAGCTCTAGTGAAGGGTCAGTCCTTCCTTGACTCTTCCAGCTCCTGGTGGCTCCTGGTGTTCCTTGGCTTATGGCAGTAGAACGCTAATTTCTGCCACATGGCCTCCTCTGTGTCTCTGTGTGTCCACTCCTTTTCTTATAAGGACACCAGTTGTTGAATTTGGGGCCCACCCTGCTCCAGTGTGACCTCATCTTCACTAATTACACCTGCAAACACCCTGTGTCCAAATAAGGCCACATTCTGAAGTTCTAGGTGGAAACGAATTCTGGGGGTGACACTGTGCAACCCACTGTAAGTAGTGATACTTCCTCATAGGATCTTTGTGAGAGCCCAGGAAGGTAACAGAGGGCAGGGCTTCTCGATCAGTGGTGTGCACACCAGCCATCTGGGGCTCTCTTTAAAATGTGTATTTGGGTTCAGCCAGCCCGGGGTGAGTCTGCATTTCTCACAAGCTCCCAGGTGATGTCCTGGCTGCTCCTCCATGCTTTGAATAACAAGGACGTAGGTGAAAGAGAGTGCTTTGAAAGCAGATGTCCGGTAGGCCTATTCCATTTCTTATGTAATGAGCTTTTCTCACGCTCCTATTTCTCCACCCACCTGGCTCTCCTGTGAACTATAGAAGACAGAAAACATGTTTTAGTTCAGGCTCCCCCACAAAAGCAGACCTGGAGACAGGGACGTGGGGTTTCAGCTGTTTACCAGCAAGTGGTCATGTGAAGCAGATGTGTGGAAAATAGGGAAAGAGAGAAAAGGGAAAGAAGCCAATGGAGAGGGTTTTAAGTAGCTGGTGGCTCTGGGGGCAGCTGGTGCTCTATCCTGCTGGGAACTGGCTGAGGACTGTGGGGCCACTCCTCAGAATTGTCCTGCTGGATGGCCGGGCATTTTCCCACTGATTCCTATCCTCCATCAGTTGAAGGTTGCCCTTGGGTCGGGGTCCTGCACCCAGCTGGGCCAGCTCCCCAGGTGCTTAAGAAAGCCCTCCTTCCAGCCAAAAGGCTGCAGGCACTGGAGGGGGAAGCACAAGTATGATAGAAATAGCGTTCTCCTGCAGCTGCAGGTACCCCAGTTAGGCCAAGGTGGGGGAAGGAGGGAGATCATGAGCTGCTGCAGACGCCTTCTAGGTTTACATATCATCTATGTCTGCCATTCTATTTTGAGTGCGTGAGCTACACAGGCAAGCTCTCACATACAGTTATGAGTATGACTGTCATTCAGCCCCAGCAGACACCTTGCCCACATGGGTGTCACAGGAGAATCTGTCAGTGGCCTGCCAAAACCCACATGGGCCTTGCCCTGCTTCCCAGGCCCTGCTTTCACATGGGTAAAGTCACTGACACTGTGATTGCAGGGTGGGAATACCTCCCCGCTAGGGGAATGGAATTATGCTTCAGAGTCACCATAGGAAGGCAATACTTCTCCCTCTGATAGTCCCCACCTTTCCCTAGTTCAGTCCATCCACACTCTGGACATTTAGTACATGTTTCATCCACATCACAACCCTCTTGTTGTCCCCATTTTATAGCCAAGGAAACTGAGAGCCAGAAAAGCGAAGAGACTTGCCGAAGGTCACTTAGTAAGTGGCAGAAGTGGGACCCAAACATAGCATGTCTCATTCACTGTACTCTGTGGATTCCATAGGCAAAACTAGGTAGCAGGTCCCAATGAGATTTAAATATAAATCCAAACTACACTTCTGTAACAGCCTGTTGGACCAGAACAGAGGGAAGAACGGCTTTTATTTGCACACAGCTTCTAGCTCTGTTACAGTGTGATCTTTCACTTTGAAAAATAAGTTATTGCAAGTGAAATACACATATTGCTTTTTATGAGTTAGTGTGTATTTACTTTCCTCTTTGTTGGTATTCACTGGGATGGATAGATTTTTCTTAGATAATTGGTAAATGAATAGATCCAAACTCTGATAAGCAAAATATGCCATAGAAAAATAAAATAAACATTCAATGGTTCAGTATCATTAGTTTAAAAAATTTCACCATAGGATTTCCTCAACTAGTGATTTAATATAGGATTCCACTCTGATACACATTTCAGGAACACTTATTCACAAAATAAGACAGATCCACTCTTCTGTGTGTTTGGGGCCATTTTTCCTCCCTTTCCAGGCAACAAATGTCCT